GATGCAGAATAAAAGCTTTTCTTGGCAGCAAGATCTCCAAATGTATTTGCAGGACTAACAGTCATGAGAAACAGACTGTCTTTTTGTGATATGCAAGTTGAACTCTTATATTCTTCAAGTGACTGAAAAGAATTGCCATCCTAAAGACGAAAAATCTTTTATGCTATGCTTGAAAAGAGAGAGACTGCCTGACTTGGCTCATCAGCATTTGTGCAGAGGGTAGGAGAGACAGGGTGGCACAGCATGCTGGCTGCCTGCGCACCCACCTCTGCTTTTAAAGTGTTACGGGTTGGGAAAACCCATTAACAATCTCTTGTCGTTTAGACAATTATTCTGTCACCCGATGACCCCTCCCCACCCGGAAAGGGGAATCGGGGAACACAAGGAAACACAAGGGTTGAAATATAAATAGATTTAATAGACTAAAACTAAATAATTAACAATAATACTAAAGACCCAGTATTAATCCCGATACTGATATAAGATACAGGAATTACGAAAGTTTTACGTTTGGAAGGATTACAGTTAGAGAACTCAAACTATCAGCCCTCTTTAAGAAAGACCTGACCTATCAATTAAGTCAATGTGAGTCCTTTTCTCCAGCGTAATGGGCTTCGGAGTGGGTCTAAGCCTATGTTTTGGGGCTTGTTTGTTTAATTTTCGCTTCTAGTCAGGGCAGACTGAATGTCTTCAACATCCCAGTGAGTCTGGGAACTGTGTGCAACGTGTGTTTCAGCACCAGCAAACCCGCAGTCTTCCCTGCACCCTGGGTCTCACGACGAATTTCCTTTTCTTTTCAAACATCATCTCCTGGAGCCGAGTGATCTCTGCCACCTTTGAGAAGTTTCCTGCCTGACAGTTGCAGAAATGAACTTGAAAGCATGACCTCGAAGAAAGCAACAAAAAAATGCCAAATTTCCTCTCTGCAAAAAAAAAAAAACCAAAAAAACAAAAAACAAACCCTTGGATTTTTTAGAGCCAGTTTCACTAAGGAAAGTCTGAATCTCTATTTACTATCTCTGGTTATGCTACAGTCTCAGTAGCCCACGTAGAGAAAAGCCAGTGGCTCACTGCATCCTTCCCATGGCTACAGCCTCTCAGTCTCCAGGGCTGTCAGTCTGTCACAAACACTAAACACAGGTCGTTCTGCCCCACTGAATTCAGGGGGGCACCCGGGAAGACGTGACCTTGTGCTCTGGAAAGCAGGGACCGTGATCCCAGGCAGCTATACCGGGCCACGGGCGCCAGGGAGAGTTCTTTCTCCTGCCTCCACAAAGGCCCGTTTGTTGTTGCTGGGTTGTTTTGGTTTTTTTTTTACTTTTATATCTTTTTAAAGCTCAATTTCCGTGTCCCCGTTTGTCCCGCTTTAGTTTAAAAGCAGGTGCGCTGATTTTTACTACTCTCTACATGTTTTTTGACCTCAGTCGAGATCTTCTGGGATCAATTTAGAAATGCAGATTCGTTCCTTATTAGAAACACATCCGCATTCCCTTCTGCCTCACAGTTTATCACAGCGAGGTGCTGGATCTAACAGAAACTACACAATACGAACCAGCGCAAATCTTTGATGAGGGCTTTGGGAATTGGTCCCCTTGATCCTCCGACATCAGCAATTCCCTGGCTGTGGACATTCGCTGGGTATTGCTGTCTGCATGATTGCAGCCAGAAAAGGGAAGCAACTCCTAATTTCATCTTGCGTGTTTTGCTCTCAAAGGTGAGTCTAAATCAGCCTAAAATGCTTCCATCCAGAGCAAAACCTGGAGAACCTGTTATCAATAAAGAAACCCTTTGTGGCCAAGTCACTCTCACGACTGAGCATTTTCTGAAGAACAGCCTCAGGAAAAGAGCTATCATCTAAATATGGCACCTTCTTACTCAGCAGAAAATTGGTTCCCCAAGCGTGTTTGGAGTAATACCCGCACTAGAGAGCCAAGTGAGCTGACAGACCCTGAAGTACGCTTTATCAACAAAATTGTTAAGGCTCCAGCCCCGCAGTTGGTGGCAAGGAGGCACACAGCTTTGCTTACTTGTCATGCTGGGTGCAAAGAAGCCCATTTCCACAGGAGCAGCAGCCCATACGCATGGTCCTAGCTATGGTAAGGGCTTCAGATCTGGTTAGAGCCCGCTGAATGGACTTCAGGTTTGGGTCCTGTGAGTACTGACCCTGATTAGCATTGCCATGGTACAGAGATCACAGCTTCCAGTAAAGGTTGTAAGATCGGGCCCCAAGTTCTGGCTGTAGGTTCCAACCAGGTTCCAACTTTCCTCCTTGGCTGCAATATGAGGATCTCCATCAAAACTAAATGGAAACAATCATAAGCCACCAAGGGCAGATTCTGCAACAATTAGACAGTCGGAGATGCAGAATAAAAGCTTTTCTTGGCAGCAAGATCTCCAAATGTATTTGCAGGACTAACAGTCATGAGAAACAGACTGTCTTTTTGTGATATGCAAGTTGAACTCTTATATTCTTCAAGTGACTGAAAAGAATTGCCATGCTAGTAAGGGCTTCAGATCTAAGCCCTAGTAAGGGCTTCAGATCTGGTTAGAGCCCACTGAATGGACTTCAGGTTTGGGTGCTGTGAGTACTGACCCTGATTAGCATTGCCATGGTACAGAGATCACAGCTTCCAGTAAAGGTTGTAAGATCGGGCCCCAAGTTCTGGCTGTAGGTTCCAACCAGGTTCCAACTTTCCTCCTTGGCTGCAATATGAGGATCTCCATCAAAACTAAATGGAAACAATCATAAGCCACCAAGGGCAGATTCTGCAACAATTAGACAGTCGGAGATGCAGAATAAAAGCTTTTCTTGGCAGCAAGATCTCCAAATGTATTTGCAGGACTAACAGTCAAGAGAAACAGACTGTCTTTTTGCGATATTCAACTCTTTTATTCTTCAAGTGACTGAAAAGAATTGCCATCCTAAAGACGAAGAATCTTTTATGCTATGCTTGAAAAGAGAGAGACTGCCTGACTTGGCTCATCAGCATTTGTGCAGAGGGTAGGAGAGACAGGGTGGCACAGCATGCTGGCTGCCTGCGCACCCACCTCTGCTTTTAAAGTGTTACGGGTTGGGAAAACCCATTAACAATCTCTTGTCGTTTAGACAATTATTCTGTCACCCGATGACCCCTCCCCACCCGGAAAGGGGAATCGGGGAACACAAGGAAACACAAGGGTTGAAATATAAATAGATTTAATAGACTAAATCCTAAAGACGAAAAATCTTTTATGCTATGCTTGAAAAGAGAGAGACTGCCTGACTTGGCTCATCAGCATTTGTGCAGAGGGTAGGAGAGACAGGGTGGCACAGCATGCTGGCTGCCTGCGCACCCACCTCTGCTTTTAAAGTGTTACGGGTTGGGAAAACCCATTAACAATCTCTTGTCGTTTAGACAATTATTCTGTCACCCGATGACCCCTCCCCACCCGGAAAGGGGAATCGGGGAACACAAGGAAACACAAGGGTTGAAATATAAATAGATTTAATAGACTAAGACTAAATAATTAACAATAATACTAAAGACCCAGTATTAATCCCAATACTGATGTAAAATATACAGGAATTACACTCAGCCCATTCTCTCAGTAGAAGCTGTGTGCTCCCCGCAGGGACAGCAAATGGCAGACACTGCCAGCGCAATGGCTTCAGGAGGAAGGGAAGGCCTCAGGGCTCCGGCACCGGAGCAAGGAGTTGTCTGGACCCACCAGCATCAAGGGAGAGAGAGCTACACAGCAAACTTTTCTAATTTATATTGAATGTGACGTTCATGGTATGAAATAATCCTGTTGGCCAGCCTGGGTCGAACGCCCAGGCCTTGCTCCTCCATGTCCCTGTGCCTGGCAAGGCTCGAAAACACTAACCTTGAATCCCACAGAGCCTGGCTGGCTATAAAGTAAGTATTTTCACAAATTCAGACACTGGAGTCTACTAAGAGTGCAATTTTCTGCAGCATTAGAAGGAAAGTTAGTCCTGTGTCTCGCAGCATTAGAAAGAAAGTTACTCCTGTGTCTCTCAACCCAGGACACAAGCTGGTGCTGGTACAGACAGGTGAGTGCCGGAGAGCAGCTCTGGGAGACAGGGGCACTGACCCTGAGGGGGAGAGGGGTCACTCAGGTTATTTTGCCCGTGGGCCGCCCGTGCTCCCCTCAGAGGCAGCCCTGCACGACCACCCAGCCGGCTGCCCACAGCCGTTTGCCGCGGAAGGATGGGATCAGGCCACCACCGCAGCGCTGACAACAGCCACCGGCTCTCGCTCGTACCCCCCCCCCGCCAAGGGCTCCGCAGGGAGAGCCGCCCGGGCCGCTTTGCCGGGCGACAGAGCTGCCCCCGTCCGTCCGTCCGTCCGTCAGTCGGTCGGTCGGTCCTGGCCGCGGCCCCAAGCGCGGGGCCTCCCCTGAGGCAGCCGCGGGCACCCGCCACC